CTGATAACTTGCTTAAATAAAACCTGTTGAATTTTTTTGCCTGATGATTTGCTCTATGAAACAACTTGAAAATGTTCAATGTTGGATAGATTGACTAGCTTGGTTAATGAAAACATAAATTTTTAACAAGCGAAATAACTTGAAAAATATTCATAAGTTGTATATTCTACTTGCAAGCGAAATAACTTGAAAAATTTTATAGGTTGTATATTCTGCTTGGAAAAGTTGAATCGCTTGCTTATGAAAAATTTTTCTTGAGCCGATTTAGTTCATCTCAAACTAAATCAAAGTTTCGTCGCTGACTTAGTTTTTTAGAAACCTTTAACACTTTACCCATCCGGTTCGCTTTATGGAATAACTTGATACATTTCAAAGTTTCATCGCTCGATTAGCTCGCTTAGAAAAAGTAGAGTTTGCGAACTGATTCGTAACAAGAAAAACGTCTTAAATGTTTTAGTTTTTTATGTAAATTGCTCCCAAAGCTATCCGATTCCTTTCATAAAATCAATTAAAAAATTTCAAAATTTCATCGCTTGGATGGCTTCATTAGAAAACGTTAGGGTTTGAGCTGTCATAATTGCTTTTTTTATAGCTCGACCAGTTACTTTAGAAAAATGTTAGTGTTCGTGAACCGATTCAGTCTGAAAACACTCCAAATACTTCGAAAATTTTGTAGCTTGAAAAGCTTGCACAAGAAACCTTTGGATTTTTCGCTTAATGTTTAAATTTTTTTTGCTTAATTGTTAGCATAGCGAAATTTTTTTGCAATTTCTCTCGCAGTTCAATCTCAGAAATTATTTAAAATGTTTCAAATTTTTATCCCTTGAAGGGCTCCAATATAAACACTTATACTTTCAGCTTCCCGATTCCCTTCATTAAATACCTTGAAACATTTCAAAGTTTCATCTCCTAAATCGCTTTAACATAAAAGTTAAAACGTTCTGCAATCCGTTTCGCGCGTTTCAAAAGTTCCTAGCTGGCTTAGAAGAACTTGAATTGTCAAAAATCTGATTTCTCAAACCAATTCAGTCAATGAAAAACCTGTAAAAATCAAAACTTCATAGCTTCAAACGCTTACATAGAAAAATTTTAAGCTTTTCGCGAAATGATTGGGTCTACGAAAAAACTTGAAAACAGTTCACAAAGTCTGATAGCTCGAAGAACTCGCTTAGAAAACTTTAACTTTTTCACAAACTGATTCGGTTTATGAAATAACATGACCTATTTCAAAATTTCTAGCCTAAAAATCTGCCTTAAAAATATCAGTTTTTTGCGAATTAATCCAATCTATATAATGACTTGGAAGGTTTTGAAGTTTCATAGCTTCAAACACTTGCTTAGAACACTTTTAAGCTTTTCGCGAAACGATTTGGTCTAAGAAATAACTTGAAAAAGTTGACAAAGTTGGTTAGCTTGAATAGCTCGCTTAGAAAACCCTAAATTTTTCATAAACAGATTCAGTCTTTGAAATAACTTACAATGGTTCAAAAAACTCATGTCTTGATTAGCTTGCTTCGAAAAACTTACATTTTCTCGCGAACTGATTCAGTTTATGAATAAACTTGAAATACTTCAAAGTTGGTTAGCTCTAGTAGGTTGCTTAGACAAACTTCAACCCTTCGCCAATCGATTCGCTCTACGCGATAACCTGAATAAGCTCAAAATTTTATAGCGGGAATAGCTTGCCTAGAAATTTAAAGCTTCTTACAAACCGATTCAGTCTCTAAAATAACTTATAATAATTCAAAATTTAATAGCTTTAAAAGTTTGTTTAGAAAAATCTAATAAAACTTTTTGCGGACCGATTCAATCTTTGAAATAATGGGCAATATTTGAAAAACTCATAGCATGAGTAACTTGCTTCAAAAAACGTACAGCTTCTCGCGAAATGATATGGTATATGAAATAACTTGAAATACTTCAAAGTTGCTGTTTAGCTCTAGTAGCTTGCTTAGACAAACTTCAACTCTACGACAATTGACTCGCTCTACGCGATAACTTGAAATAGTTCGAAGTTTTATAGCATGAATAGCTTGCCTAGAACATTTAAAGCTTTTCTCGAAACGATTCAGTCTCTTAAATAACTTATAATAGTTCAAAATTTCATAGCTTTGAAAGCTTGCTTAGAAAAACTTGATAAAACTTTCTGATTCAGTCTATGAAATAGCTTGCAATATTTCAAAATTTCACAACCTTAAACGCTTGCTTTGAAAATTTTTTAACTTTTTGCGAACCGATTTGTCTACAAAATAAATTGAAAAAGTTCACAAAGTTTGATAGCTTGAATAGCTCGATCAGAAAACTTTATTTTTTTCACAAAATGATTCGGTTCATGAAATAAACGGAAATACTTTAACATTTTATAGCTCTTAAAGCAGTCTTAGAAAAACTGAAACATTTCGCGAACCGATTCGGTCCGCCAGCTTATTTTAAATAATTCGAAGTTGCAGATTTTGACTCGATACTTCAAAATTTTTGAAGCTTTTTGCCAAACGATTCAGTCTATAAAAAAACTTTTAATAATTCAAAAAATCAAAGCTTTAGAAACTTTTTTATTTCAATAACTTTAAGCTTCTTGCTAACTCCTTCAGTTTATGAAATAAATTGAAATTTTTCAAAATTGCTTAGCTCTAATAGCTTTCTTAGAAAAACTTCAACAGTTCGGCGGCCGATTCGGTCACCGAAAAGGCTTTAAAAAGTTTACAAAGTTTCATAGCTTGAATAGGTTGCTTAAAAAATTTTAAAATTTTCCCAAGCTGATTCAATTTACGAAACAAATTGAATTATTTCAAAAAACTTGATTTCAATTTAAAAAATAACTTGAAGGAAATTGAAGTTTCATAGCTTTAAAAGCTTGCCTAGAAAAACTTCGTGCTTTTCGCGAACCGAATCGGTCCAGAAACTTATTTGAAATTTGTGATAGTTTCATAGCTTGATTAGTCTACTTCACAAATTTCAAAGTTTTTGGCGAACCGATTCAGTCTATGAAGAAAATTAAAATATTCCAAATTTTCATAGCTTTAAAAGCTTGCTCAGAAAAACTTGAAGCTTCTCGCGAACTGATTCGGTTTATGGAATAACTTTAAGTTTTTCAAGGTTAATTATCTGTAATAGTTAGATTTAGAAACTTTCTTATTTCATTAACTTGAAGCTTCTTGCGAATTTATTCAGTTTATGGCATAACTTGAAACTTTTCAAAGTTGTTTAGCTCTATTAGCATGCTTAAAAATATTTCAACAGTTCGTCGACCAATTCGGTGTCACCGAAATGGCTCTAAAAAGATCACAAAGTTTCATAGCT